AGGGACTGCAGAGATTGCACTCATTCTTGCTGGGCTTAGGAAATGCAGTTTTGTTCCTTGGTGGCAACAAGAACAGCAGGAACAGGCATTTATTCAAATATGTTCAAATGATGCTTTCAAATGGAAAATATTGTACCAATTTAGGCACCTTGTAAATATAAACCTCTCATAAATGTCCCTTAATTCATTCTGCCATGCACACCCTTCTGCAGTTTATTCCCATTTCCAGCAGATGTCTTCAGTGCCCCAAGAATGATCAGGAGAGCTCTGATTTTGTATTGCTGATCCAACAAGTGAAAAGAGAAGGGCAGGCTCTCCTCTGCCTGTTTGATGCTCTGGGTAAATCCCCTTCATTGCACTCACTGTATCACCCAGTAAAGGATCAGTCTCACTCAGATTATACATTTTCTAGATATTTCAGTACTTTTGGAAAAGCAGCTGCAGACAGACACCCATCAGGTCAAAGATGTCTGTACAGCAGGGGTTTCAATGTTGTAAAAAATATTTTATTGAGGAATTGGGGATAGTTTGTCCTGTTTCTGATAATATTATTTCCTAAAATAATGCTATGGGCTCTTTGTGGAATGAATCAACCTCTTATAACAAGGTGGCACATTACAGCCCCAGCTGGTCCATCCCACAGCACAAAYCCACAGCTCAGGCCCTCTGACTGCAAGGATTTTCCATTTTATATCATTTACTTGCACCAGTGGCTCAAAAAAAACAATATAAACCAATACTGCATCCTCAAAAAAAGGTAATTTGGTTCAGCAGTGTGTATTTTAACACGGAGTGTTGAGCAAGGATTTAAAAAATAATCCTGTAGGGGTTTTCCCCTACCAAATAAGCTACAACATTCTCATAAATATGAATTGCTGCATTTTTAAAGCTGCAGCTTTGACTGAGTTCATTTAGGGGACTGATCAGCTTGATGCTGTCCCTATCAAAGCCAGTGAGATGAGACCTGTGAGATTCCAGTTTGAGCTGAGCTTGCCACCCTAATGGGAATGAGGAAGGAAGCTTGTTACAATTACCCTTCTATTTTCCTGTTTTGCTGGGTGATTAGCCAGCAGAACMCTGTAATGACTTTATCCATCGCTGCCGTGTTGAACAAAACACAGATCAAAGACCTCGGCTGAATCATGTGATGTGTGCTTCATTAGACTAAACACAGCCCCAGGGATGGTCTGCAGGAAACCAGCACTGAAAGGGGTGTTCCATGTGTCAGAGGTGAGAGCTGGGGACAGCCAGAAGTACCCAGAACATCTGGGGACAGCGAGGGAGCTGGGGACAGCCAGAGACACCCAGAACATCTGGGGACAGAGAGGGAGCTGGGGACAGCCAGAGGTACCCAGAACATCTGGAGACAGCCGGAGACACCCAGAACATCTGGGGACAGCCAGAGATACCCAAAACATCTGGGGACAGCCAGAGGCACCCAGAACATCTGGGGACAGCCAGAGGCACCCAGAATATCTGGGTGAGCGGTTCAGGTCCATCCTTCAGCTGAGACCCTAAAGGTGATTCCCTCACCCGGGAAATCTCCTGCCCCAAGGGTGCATCTGCAGCCTCCTCTGAACCCAGAGGAGTGTGGGATCACTCCTTTCCCTGGGATGCCCTTACCACAGGTGATTTTTCAGATGTGCATGGGAAAATTTAGATCATTGTCTGTCAAATTCCTATATTTTAATGGAGCTTTCCYGCCTGGGTGTCAGATGAGGGCATTCAGAATATGATTCTGTGCATTTCCATTGGTTTGGAACAGGTAAGATTTGAGACACAAGCTTTGAGCCAGGCAGGCAAAGCTTCCAGCTCAGCTGCTAAGTTAATTAGGATTCCTTTGGTAAATGGAGAATTAAATGCCAAAGAAACCAAATGGCAGTACTATGGCATTGGACAAATAATTTCATTTTTCCTGTCTACAGCAGAAATGGTTCAGGAACTAAAAGGGATGCTTTTGTACAAGCAAAGAGATACTTGGTGAGTCATGGGAGACTTGATTTATTTTTTGTTTTTACTGTGGGAAAATATTTCTAATAAGAAATGCAGACACTAGAAGGAAGACAGCAGCAGAGAAACAGAAGAATAATCTGCCAAATCAAACTGACTTAGAAAAACACTTATCATCATCATCATCTCTCTTCTGGGCTGGCAACAAAAGAAATGTTTTCTCCTGGAAGCCTCTGGAAAACATCCCTGATCTAACAGGGCTCCAGGCCCTGTGACAGCAGAAGACACCACTCAGCCTTTGCACAGCACTCTTACAAATGTTTGTTATCAGCTCATCACCTGGCTGGCCCAAGGGCTGGCCATTTCAGGGAGAGAAGAGAAATCCTTATCACAGATCCAGCATCTCTGTCACCTCCCTGTGCTCTTCCCGGGCAGGGGATGCTGCACCCTGTGCTGCTGCTTGGCTCAGTGAGCCCCAGCTGTCCCCTGGGAAATGCAGCCACAGCAGGATCTGTGCTGGGACCTGCAGCCTGGCAGGGACAGGATGGCTGCAGGGACACAGCAGAGATGGACACAGGAATGTACACAGGAATGCAGTCACAGAAATGCAGTCACAGAAATACACACAGAAATGCAGTCACAGAAATGCAGTCACAGAAATACACACAGAAATGCAGTCACAGAAATACACACAGAAATGCAGTCACAGAAATGCAGTCACAGGAATGCACACAGAAATGCAGTCACAGRAATGCACACAGAAATGCAGTCCCACAGGTGACCCCCCAACAGGATCCTCGCTCTGACCTGCAGCCTGGCAGGGACAGGATGGCTGCAGGGACACAGCCAGAGGCTGGCATAGTGCAGCACATCTCCAGCTCTGGCAGAGGCAGAGATGGTTCCAGCAGGGAGCAGGATGATGGAGCAGGGCTGGCAGAGCCCCCGGGGTGGCAGAAAGGGCAGGTTGCAGGAGCTGTGGGCATGGGGGGCCCAGGTGATCGATAGCTGTGGCTTTAAGTGCCAACCTGACCCAGAGAAATGCTCACCTTCCACTCCCCAGCCCCTCAGCACTCACAGTAAAACAGGTTTTCCTTTAGGACTTTTCCCAGTTCTTTTGGGCTCAGTRTAGCACCTCAGCCTGGTCACTGTGCAAGGAAAAGCAGCTCTTCCAGACAGACCAAAGCCCTCCTGATCTCTGAAAGAAAAGAAGCAGGTCYCCAGCCCTGCAGCYCTCCTTCAGTCACAAAACCCACACCCCAAACCACAACCCTCTGCCCCTTTCAGTAGCTGGGAGCTCCTGGTCCCAAACTAACATGTGCCAGCAGCATCTTTTAATAGAATCCCTTCCAATCCCTGTCTGCCCAGTTTGAATGGTGCCACCTGCACCAAGCATTAAACATCATGAAGGTCCAGAAGCTGAAAGAGTAAAGAGACTTTTTTTGATTGTTTTAGGTTATGTATTCATTGACTGTTTCAAAGCTTTCACCAACCGTGCAGGCTGTTCCTCCCTAATGAAAGCAGATCTTACCTGATGGCAGGTGTAGGAGTTTTTAAGACACAGGACAATCATTATGAGGGCTGTCAATCCTTGTTCCTTCCCTKTTTCCCCTCACCTTGCCCAGAATGCCTGCAGTTCCCATAAGTGCAGGGTTTCCATGTGTGAAGGGTTAATCCTGTGTTCAGCCCACCTGGAGTTTCTCTCTCACTCTCTGTGATGAAAGTGAAYGTGACCCATTTTCTTCAGAAGGTAAAAAATTAATTTTCCTGAAGTGCAAGCAGAGAACAGCAATGATGATTGAGTGTTGCAAGGACTCTGGAACCCCTTCAGAGAAAGGCTGGGACCCCTTCCAAGCACACACATGAACCAACAGGAAATGTGCWTCAAATCCTACTCACTTGGGCAGAGATAAACAATCATTTTATACCCTACATTCATCCTCTAATTCTTCCTCACCTGCACTGCTCTCCCAGCACCTTCCAGTTGGAGGGAGGTGAGAACCAGGGGCACTGAGGTTCCCAGATGGATTTTTCATGCAGATGCCCCATCCTGCTCTGTGACASAGAGTGACAGGACACTGCAATGAACCCGGGGGGAAAGCTGGAAAGGGCAGAGCTTTAGTGGTAATCACAGGGAATTTGCAAAAGGCTGTGGCTGTTTGCTTTCAGYCTCATCCTGACCCTGTGATTAGGGATTCACTGATCGTTATTTGCTTATTAAGGCTTGAAAACAGARGGCAGAAATTTACTCTGCTCCTCTTCACACTCAGCAGTGCTCCTGTGAGCTTTGAGATTAGAGCAGATTTGGGAACTACTGAAGTGAGATTTTCCAGGGACATCACAGCTTTGGAATGTGTCCTGCGTGACTGGAATGAACCAAAGCCAACACTCCCTCTGTTTAGATATTAAACTGAAGTTCATTCAGAAGGGAGTTCATTCAGTAGCTCTCTCCTCATGTAGGGAGATTTTAAAGCCCTGTACTCACGTGCAGGCTGGAGATGGCTGTAGGATTTTGGTGACCATCACCAGTTCTTCCAAACACACAGAGCCCTGGGTTAAAACCAAGGCCCAGGAGAGTGGGATTCAAAACTCAATCATTCCTCCTGCTTTCTGTAAGATAATCCGGTGGTCACTACTTTGGAATCTATTTGAAGATTATTCCATTAGAGAATTCTAATTTCTGAAAGGAGCTGTCTCCCTGAGGATGATTTGTGGGGCAATCTGAGCCCTAAACTTCTGCAAACTAGCTTCTCTTTGTACCAAAACACACTTCCCTGARCACTTAGTGAATGGTGCTTATATAATGCTGTGAATTTCTTAGACTGTGACATTCAAAATTTTATATCTGCATTGTTAATGTTCTGTAAAGTGGCACACAGCAGTTTTAATAACCTCGATTTGCTCTGTAATAGACAAAATAAATTCTCCATATATCCCACAGTGACCAAAATGGAAAATAAGACCTCAAATTTTCCTCTTAAGCAGTTCCAAGTCAGTTCCCTAATGTGACCATAATACCAGAATAAAACTCAGAGGCCAAGGATAATGCTATGCTCAACATTTTATTTATATTTTTGTGTAAACATAATTTGCTTTGTAGGCACAATATAACAAAAGCTCTAAAGCAACAAATACAATTAAACAGTGTTTCAGTTCACTTCAATCAGGCTTAAGTTAAAGAAGCTTTCACAGTTCCTTTAAGGCAAATTGAGAAATAATTTGTTTCACTTGAAGAAACTACCCAATTGTCTCAGAGTTGTTTAAACAACACTGTCAGTAGTAAGCACAAACCTTCATTTCTGCTACRATAAGACTTGGCCAGTGCCAAGCTTGGCTCCACCAGTTTGAACAGCACAGCTTCCCCCCGTCCCGGCGCCATACTACTGCTTGTGCTCACCTGAAAGGTTCTGAGGGCTCCTGGGCCAAATTCTGCGAGCACACACCCTGCTTCCASAATGGCTGCCTGAAAAACTTCCATCTGTTCCAGCAGCAGCAGCCTCCCTGGTGCCAATGGATCCCAGTAAAACACAGAGCGGGGCTCAGCTCGCCGATGGTTGCGCTCAGCTGGGTGGCACTCAGGTACTTCCAGAAGTGTTCCTTTCTACTCACTGCAATTACCTGATATTCTGCTGATCAGAAAATGGCCCGAAATCGCTATGAATTAACATGAAGAGTATTTTTTGCCTTGCTAACAAAACCAGAAAGAACTAGCCAAAATTATTTGGTTGTTGTCCCTGTGGTGTCTGTGGCCGTGACCAAGATCACCCATGTTTGTCTTGCAGGGTAATTTAGACGCAGAGCCCACCAGACTGTGGTTTAGAACAGAAGAATGGGTTTGCTATTCTGCTTGCCCTACTAATTTAAGGCCTTGAGAATGCCACTTACTGCCAGCTCGAAGGTCACCAGCAATATTGCTCACTTTGGCGTCAAATCAAAATTCCTAGTTACGTTAAGGTCTGTTGCAGGACAACATCATTACACTAGCTGCAAAACAAAATTGGGCATGTTTCCTACTGCTGTCAGCTGATGAGTCATGAAAACTTAATGGCCCTTCTTAAAAGTCCAACTGGCAAGCCTGATAAATGGAAAACTCGCACTGAATACATTTTTTCTTCTGTGGATAAAGTCCCTGTTTGGGCCCGAAATGGCACTGGGAGGGTAGGCAAGTCTAGCTTGAAAAGAAACTCAACTATAATGAAGAGAAAAATGAAGTTCTGGTTGGATTAATAGCTCAAAAGCTTTTTTTTTTTTTTTTTTTTTTTTTTTTTTTTTTTTTTTTTTTTTTTTTTTTTTTTTTTTTTTTTTTTTTTTGGCATTTTTCTTCAGTTATTTCTTGCTGTTATTTTTGAATTTGTTCAACCCAAGGGAAACTCCTTCAGAATGAACCATCTGCACAATTATCTGACAGCGACTCCATGAGTACAGTGTAAAGAAATGGACATTAATATTCAGGCAGCAAGACCAAACAAACAGAAAAARCCTAAAGGGAATCTTCTAAAACCACACATAAAAGTCATCCAGACCCACAAGTCCTCTACACTGAGAAAAGCTTGAGAAGCACCCACCTTTTCATTTTTCTGTATTAATTTTTAACTTTTATCACAACATGCTACTTGTAGATTTAGGTGAACAACTAGTCTGAGTAAATACTTTCTTTTGAAAAACAGAATATTAATTTGAAGCTGTAGGCATTATGCAAGGTCTCTGCCAGCCCTTCAGCATTTGTRCTGCACATGATTGCAGTAATTTTAAAATAACTGTTTTAACAAGACAGTTGAGCACCTGAGTAGCTGCTGTTTGGATAAGTGAAGGACGTGAAAAAAATATTTACTTTTTTCATGTTCAGATATAGTTTCCACTTGTGGGAGGTAGATAAGACTAGCTGGTCTTTGAATACTTGATCCTGTAAATAATTACAAATGTAACTGTACATATGGACAGAGCTTTTGATAGAACAACTCACCCAGATAAAAGTTCTCCCTGTGCATGATTTGTGRTGGGATTAAGGCCTAAACCTCATTTTTTAACAGGGTTAACTTCTGCAGGTGTTCAGCTCCAGTCTGACAGTTGACCACACTTTAGCAATTTCAGAGCAATAAACTCCATCAYCAAATTTCTTTTTGCATCCTTGTAAGTGATCCTTACCAATGCAATTCAAAACTGAAGTTTAAAATTGGTTTGGATTTGACATATGAGTCCTTACCAGAAGATGTTGATCAAAGCCTCTCAATTAATGATTTCTCGCACAATTTCAGATTCCATGATTCTAGATGAGGTACTTTTGAAAATGAAGAACAGGATTGCATATGAAATGAYGAACTATGACTGAGGAAAATGAAAAGTCATCTTTGTTGCAACTTTTATTTGTGGTTCATTAGAGGAAAACTATTTTAACACTGAAGACCCAGAAATATGAAATTATCCCTCTAGTTACTAGAATCTTTCAGACAGCAAGTGGGGATTTTTTTTTTTTTACTGTTTCCAACTTGCAAAAAAAGCCCAAACCTCCCAAATAACTTTATGCAAGATGTTGGAATTCGCATGAGAAAGATGCCCATCTAAAATTACACAGTTAATAAGGCTTTCAAACAAGAACAGAAAAATCCATGGGACTCCTAACAGGGAACCCGGGTATTACACAGAAATGTCGTAATACTGCACTGGATGAGAATGGCACTTGAGTTCAAAACAACAATGATCAACAGCTCATAGCTCAGCTGACTGCAAACAAATACAACACACACTGTACTACAGCATTTGTTCACTGATGCACAGAAGAGATTTCCCAGTCTTGTTCCCTTCTCCTTCCCGACTCTCCTGCCTCCTCTGGCTGCTACTGGATGAAGGGCATGCGYTCCTTGTTCTCATTGTCGCCCTCGTGGTCCTCCTCCTCCTCTCCAGCCTCGCTCGTCTCCGTGCTGTCGTTGGCCATCTGCACCAGGAAAGACCAAGGACATCAGAGCACCATCCTCACCCTTTGATTCCTCCTTATTTCAGTCTGATTCACTTGATAAAATGGCTTTGGAAACTCAAGAAGACAGGGCAGCCACATGAAAATAAACATTCTGTCTGTGCAAAGCCTTTGCTGGCTCTGCACCACTCCCAGCTAAACCTACAAGCAGTTCCCCCACAGCTCTATTTCCTAGCAGAAAGCTGTTTGTAGGACAGCTGCGCACGGGGGCTCTGCTCTGTGCACTTGTAGTAAACTGATAGTAAGGCTCTAGGATGGGAAACACAGCTGTGTAGGAAGTTACAGAGCGTGGGACCTCTGGGTTGCAGTTCCTGTGCCTGCTCTTCCAGGAACAGCCTGATGGATGGCCCCATCTGAGGCACAGGGTGAAAACTCAGGGGGAAATTTCCTTTCTTTTCTATATTAAAAAACAGTGAAGCTTTATGGAGCAGTGGCAGAATACACCCACCACAGAGTGCAGATCCCAGATCATGCAGGAGTGGGAAGAAACTGCATTTTCATTTTTTATTGAGGATGTCTCTACAGGCAGTCGTTAATTGCAGAAATCTGTGTTTCAGAACAGCATTTAAGGAGTACGCTCTGGGTTTTTTTCACTTTGTTACAAATTGTGCAAAGGTGCAGGAGCCTCCAGCACTTCCCCCTGTCAGTGTGACAGGTCTGTGGAGGCACACGAGTCTGGCTCACTGGTGGGGGTGGTGTTTAACAGCACAGATTAGTGGGACTGAGTTCCCTTACACACCCACAATACCTCCCTTAGGACACAAGAAGATTCTTCTATCAGCTTATAACTACCTAAAAACCAAATAAGCAAGGGACACATTTACTTCTAAAAGAGAAATGCAGTGATGTTCCTTCCCTGTTGATTATTAGCCCCTGCTGGAAATAAAAATCTCATTAATGCAGAAAAGCAATGCTCTGAAGTTATCCATATTTTTAACACCCTGTTGTGAAAGTGTATTGTTGCACACGTGCCGTCCACAAAGCCTTCCTTTTCCTTGTGGAGATTTTACATGAGATTTGGGGGCATTTTTAGAGTAAGAGCTTAACTGTAATTCCAGGTTCTTTCCTGCTCTTTTGGAACAGGAGGTGTCTCAGGTCTGAAAGCAAACTTCACACATCAGTATTGATTTAAAGCCAGTTTTGCATTACCTTCTTTACTGCTCTTTCCTACACCATCAGTGAGTGCTCAGGGGTGAGCCTGGCCTTCATCCACCACTGCTCTCTAAAAGGTTTCTGTACCATGCTGAGTGCTCCAAATCCAGAGCACCAGAGCTCCATCACTACTATCTTCCTTCAGGATATTTCTACAAATATTTACACATTACATTTCATATATTATGAAAACCAGTAAACTGAATTCCTAACTTTAGAATGGGAATCAGAAAGCACTTTTATGTTTGCAGCCTGAAGCAATATTGACTGGGTTTTTTCCTCCTATTAATACAGGAATTKTTTTAGTTTGAGAAATATCTGTTCATTTTCCACCACAAGGACAGAAAGACACGTGGCAGTTTTACACTTGCAGGCACGCTTTTGGAGAAGGAGATGGTTCATTCAGTATAGAAAAGTAACTGCTGGCACTTCAGGAAGTACATTTCACTTTGGGTTAAACACAGGAATTATGGTCACTGGTGGTATTTGGGTGCTATGGATTTAGAGGAAATCAGTGTCAGAAAGCATCTCAAGGGACATTTGTCCAGMAGTCACTGGCAGGCTGTGTCACACCTGGCTGCACATGGTGTCTGCAGCGCTTTGCACTCACCAGGGGAGTGGGTGCTTTCTCCACATCCAGAATGAGTTTTCCTATATTTCCTCGGTCGTGGATTCTCTGCATGGCCTCCTTCACCTGAAACAAAAATCACCTCTTGATCATTTTCAGTCACACCCTGGGRAAGCCTGAATCCCTCCCCTCCAAAACCAGCAACACATTTAAGGCATGCCATGTGCCTTTTGTTAAAATGCACTCAAGGGCTGCTTGAGAAAAGACTGATGGTTAAACATTTTTCAGTGAATTGGTAAGGCCTGGTTTTTCACTGTGCTTGCCAAAATGGGATGTGAGTCCCGAGGACAATTTCTGAATAGCAAAACCACATCCATAATGTTAATGCAGAGTCAGAGTGATGGATAGCTGAGGTGCAGAGAGAAATACAGGCTCARGGAGACAATCCTAAAAGGATGTTAATTCCATCTTATCTTTTAAGAATATTTATCAAGGCATCCTACTGTCCCTGAAAGTATGAAATGTTTTTCTAATTGAGTTATGGTATTTTCCAGTTACTTTCTTATGGGTTACCAAAAAGGAAATGCCATGTCCAGGCAATGGCTGGGATTAATTCAATACCACGGGTCTTGCTGCCTAAGCAAACATTTATTTCTTTCTTTTTTCCACTTTTTTCTTTTTTTTTCTTTAAAAAAAGAAAGTTAAATAAGTRGTGTCCTACTGCTACCACCAAGACCATCTGTTGAACAGCTGGCTGCAATTACTGCATGTGAGAAAGGCACAAGAACCTCTTCTTGYGAGTGCACTGGAGGGAAGCTTATTTCAAATGATGAAGTTTCAGAACTCAGGAGAGCTCATTGTTAATAAATTGAATTTGTGTGTGTGTAGCACTGAATGTTTAATGTGCAGCACACGGACCACTGCTGAGTCACTGGCACAGGTGGAATCCCATCCCTGGAAGGGTCCAAGGCCAGCTTGGATGGGGCTTGGAGCACCCTGGGATGGTGGAAAATGTCCCTGCCCATGGCAGGAGCCTGGAACAGGATGAGCTTTAAGGTCTCTCCCAATCTATGATTCTATAAATCACTGAAAATTGGAAGATGTCAAGAGTTTCCTCACTTTCACAGTGGGAAACTTCAGTGAAAATGTGCACATAAAGGCTATTCCATCTCCTCATCACACTGCTCTTTGGCAGCGTAACAAGGCTGGTTGAAATAAAAATGAGTTTTATGTTAATAGGATTTAGCACCTGTGACATAGTTCTATTGAATATTTTAAGAATAACGGCATACAAGGTTGAAATGAAATGCTGAGTTGGGACCTGATGGGTCCCACRGTACATTTAAAAGCCTGGATTGGGGTCCAGGCCCCCAAAATAGTCCCTGAATGTCTAATACAGAAGGAGGTATGCGATTTCTAAAGATAATACAGCATTCAACTTCCAATTAAACTTAATGGATGCTGGGCACAGCACAAAATGTCTTTCCCATCTGTCAGCCTTGCTGGGAAGCTGACTGCAGCAAACTCAGTGCTACCCCTGGAATTTTGCAGAGATGTTCCCTCAATTATTAAATACCTTAAGAAAAATCCTACTGGAACAAAAGAGAAATTGCASTGGAAACACAACAGCTTTCTAACTTAGGGTATTATTGTAAATGAACCTCAGAAAACACAGTCTCATGGATCCCTGGATAGCAGGCTGACCTCTACATGCAGTTCACAAAATCACAGTACCTTTTAGGAAGCTACTCAGAGCATAAACAACACCCAACCCTCCTGTCAGACTAGCTCTGCTCTATGGRTAATATTCTTTTAAGAACATCCAGCAAAGATGCTGAAGAAGCAGCAGCTGTATAATTTTTTATGGCTGTTATTAACCAAATCAAGCTTTTAGGAGGTTAGAGCACAGCATAAATAACAGAATTGGAGAAATCAGCAAACACACTTGCCTGTCCACTGAAATTTATAACCAGAACATCATGTGRAAAGCAGGACATGCAACATTTATTTTAATTTGTACCATATCATATTTAGCAAGGCAAATTTGAGAAAATGTGCTTTCCCTGCTTTTTTTTTTTCACATACACAATATCAAATTTAAGCCCCTGGAGAAAGGTTCAGGAGTTGTTTCCAAGGCACTTGTAAGTAACTTGCAAATGCAAACAGCAGGCAGAGGCAAAGGGAACAATAAAACTTATAACAATAATAGTGGCTATGGAATCCAGATGGAGCTATTAAAATATATAAAAACACTGAAAAGAATTTGAAAAGCTGATACAACATCTGTGCCTTTTAGTGTTATTTGCAGCTTAGCTACCCAGTTAGTCAAATTCTGGACTAGTGCAATGCCATTCAGCACACAGTCTGAGTTAAGAGACTGTGAGMTATTTTAAAAATCAGTAATTTTTATGTTTATGGCTGCTAACAGTCCACTTGTTCAACCAAGACTGCAACTGCTTGTATCCCAAGGTGCCTGACTATTGGAACCATTCCCTCTTCTCCTGCAGGGGACAGAGAGCATTAAAAACCTTCTTTGGTGTTCAACTTTGGTGAAGTTGTTTGCACAGASTGTATGGAATAATTTACTTTTCTCTATGCCTTTCACAGAGGGAGGAGCTTCTGTGAGTTTGTGCCCCAGTGTTTGCTTATTCCTAATGAAGAGAGTGCATCCCTCTGCACCTGGTTAAAACCAGACCCAGGCTTAATTGGTAGTACAGGGAGGCAAGGGGAAATCCTGGAATTTACTGGAGGTTCCCTGAAGTGCTTGAAGTTTGATTCAAAACAAACATCCCTCTGGCAGAAAGAATCACAAGGGTTTCCCTYTTCTCACAGCATTCTGTCCCCAAATCCCTTTTCAACAATTATTCCATATTGGTTGCTATTTGCATTTGTCAGCTCAAAGCCAAGTGAATGGATTTTACTTTTGTTTATGTGGATGAGTTAATTGAAATTGTTCAGTATCATCAGCAGAGGGCTCTGGGATTGGGAACAGTGCAAAGGAATGTTTATTGCTATAAAGGGTTCCCACTGGAATAAAGGACAAAACTCTGGTGTCTGTGTTTGCTTTCATCCCTGACAGGGTCTGTGACTGAACTAATGCCAAACTACAGATTTTAGCCTGGAGAGCCCCAGAYTGACACAATTTGTGTCAGAGCTCTGCAGTGGAATCAGAATTATCCTCACACAGTGGACCACTAGTCCTGGTAGCAATGATACACTGAATTAACACAGTATCTCTCAAAAACCCCTGTATTTCCATTTCTCTTTAGTTAATGATTTGCTACATTTTTATTTCATTAAAAGCAAAAGTGAATCCTCTACAATAACAGTCATAAACTATTTTCCACTACTGAACACAGCCCAGGGTATGCACTGGGAACAAGGTATGATTTCACTGWAGTTATTTTGTCTTCAGTGAGCTGGTAGCAATTTTCCTTCAAAATAAAGTACAAGATTGCACTAAAAATAAAGAGAATGAGAATTATATCAGTTTTCTCCTTTTGTGTAGTAAAGTACTAATAATAGCAGAGTTCTAATAGTGAAGCACTACTACTACAAATAAAAAAAACAGCTTTCAGGAATCACAGTGTATCCACAAATAACTTAGAGAAGTTTAATGAAGGGCTCTGACAGCACTCCTGACTAATTTGCAATGCATTTCTCTTTGGGAAATAGAGGTAAAAAAGCTCAAAATTAAGCATGTTATTACCTGCAGCCACTCAGAGCAGACAAAAAGGATTTTCATATTGACATTAAAAATAGCAGGCACTACACAATTTTTACTCAAACAGCATCTGCAATGCTGCAACTATGAAAACCAAGGTATATTCCAAACAGCACAAYTAATATAAAATGCCATCAGAGGCTGGCATTGTATTGGATATTTGCAGCCAGCTTCTRATTACACTGCTTTTCTACAGCTCTTAATGGCAGGGTGTAAAAAATAGTCCACTTTAAATCAACTGAAAGACTTTTTTTCTTCCTGAAATACATACTGTACACCTGTCTTAATTCTATTTTTTTCCCTGTGTTCTCCTTGGATTTTTCTTGTTTGTGTTTAGCACTATGCCTGCCCCAGGTGGAATCAGATCTCTTGACTGGTTTTTCATCTTTAGTGATTCATTTCAGGTCTCCACCTCAGCTGTGTTGGTTCCTTTTCCTTTGGAAAGTTCCTGAACAGAGACACTTTCAGGTGCAAGTCTGACCCTCTATAAATAATAAATACCTGAAACAAACAACTGCTCCAGCTTTGTACTGCTATAGTCAAACCTCCACTTCCTTACCCATTTTACCACCAAACCAATTTGYTGGCTGCTTGAATTCAAAATCAAGAGCCAACTATAATCTCTGCTGAGGTTTTCATAAATTCCTGCMGACACTCAGTTGGCTCTGGACCTCCATTTTGCTGTTAGAACATAGCAAGAGCAGCCTACTGCTCTGTAAATCCAGGGAAATTTAAATGGAAAATGTATTTCTAATTATCTGTTGCACCATTKCACAGTGTGAAGGAGAAATGCAGCCTGCCCAAGAAATGGATGCTATTTTCAAGCYCTGGGATATTATTTTAAACATAATGATCCATTTCTGTATTTGGCTCTTACAAGGAWCCAGTCTCAGGGGTAAAATAAAAGAGACTGGGAAGCTGGAACACGAAACCACTCGCTCTGCCAGCAAAACACATCGGGGGCTTTCGGCCCACGTTGGTTGTGTGGATGTTTAGGAGGGAGAAACAATGAAGGCAACGTGCCATGGAAAAGCTTCCTGGTGGAAATGTCAAAACACAACGYTTCCATCATCCTACGTGAAGCTGTTTAGCTCAGTAATGTCATTAATTTTATTGATTTTTTTTTTGTGAAGTTCTACATTTACATCAGGGGAAAAAAAAGATGTTGAAAGACAGTGGTGCAAGAGAAGAGTGGATATTCTTTAGCTGCACGAGGCTGGATGCAGTCTGTTGCACAAACTCCCACCTACAGATTACAGTTTCACTTTTGCAGACAATYTCTTTACCCCCTCACTGTCAGCCAAGGCAGGTTTATGGGATGGTGGCAGAGGACTTTGCCCTTTCTTTTCTTGAGGCCCTTTGAAAGGATTTCTCCTTACAGTAAAGGAATCCTTCACTCCCC